CATAGTAAAGGATAGCCATTTAAATTACCTTTAAAAATGAGGTACATAAACTGGATAACGAAATGTTTTCTTGTGTTGTGAGCTTACTCTTCCAGCTGCTAACAATCTCATTCCATTTAAATTATTTTTCACAACTTATTAGCAGAGTGCTCAGCCCATAATAGGTGCCTAATGAATAAATGATATTTAACCAGAAATTAGAAAGAATAAAAAACAACTTCTTTGTCTAACAGGGTCAGGGTCAGTTTCTCTACTGTCCTCATAGTACATGCAACAGTACATGCTATAGGTGATGATTAGTATTTATTAGTGAACCAAGACCTTAAAGTAATACTTTGAGTATCAGAAGAGAGATGAGTATTGGATGGGGAAAACACAGCAACAAACAAAAGTTTCCTAGGATCGGTGATTCTCATATGATTAGCCCACTTATCTCTTGGAGAAAGAAACGTGAAAAATGTTATATGTTTTAAACGTTTCCATTTAACGTCAAAAATAAAACTCTGTCTACCAAGCAAATTTTGTGAGTTGAGACTTTGGGCTATGTACTAACCTACATTCTGATTAGTGGCTATAATTCTTTATTGCCTTACCTTTGCTTAGTCAACATATATCAAATACCTACTGTGTGCTGACCATGACCCTAACTACAGAGAATTTATGGTCCAATGGGAAAAAGAGACTTGCAACCACTCATTTTGACACTCTATCCTGAATACTCCAAAAGAGTATATATAAGAAATATAATATCAGTCCACTATATAATGATTAGGGACAAAAACAAGAAAGAAAGAAAAATAGCCTGCATGTTGGGCAGGGTCCATTTATTTCTTATTTTCAAGGTATAAGCAACAATCTATGTATATAAAACACATTATTACAAAATAGTATTGGGAAATACTTTTGACAATTGTTTTCAAACATAGCTGAACTAGAGTACTGTTAGCATCGCAGAGCCTATCTGTATTCATAATGTCAAATACACCCTGACCCTTTGTTGGAAATACTCTGAAACAGTTCCATTTAGGAAGGCTTTAGAGTCCTGCATTATTTATAGGAATGTGCTTAGTGAATTCATGTTGATTCTGTGCATCTGTCAAGATAACATATAAATAAATACACAGATTTTCAACGTGGCAGGAAGTGTGGCTTAATTGGAAAAGATGTAGATTTGCAGTCAGGCGGATTGTGTTAAAACTTGGATTTTCTAGTTAGACATGTTACTTAACCTCCTGGTGGGCTGTTTTTTTCTTTCTTTCTCTAAAACAAATATATATTTTTATATATTATATTACATTAAAATATTATATATATAATGTATCTTTCATGTTGCCTAGCATACAAGGCACTCCAGACATTAAATCCTTTTCCCATTTGCCTTCCTTCTCCCTCACCCTTTAATGAAAATCACTGAATTTCTTGGGATAGGAGAAATACAATAGTCACAACCTCTGTAATAGGTCATCTTTTTCTGAGACCCAGCTGTCAGCTGAAATCATGGTGTCTTTTGTGTGTAAATAAAATGAGCTCCAACTCTCTAGCTCATGTTTTTTGGGGATCCCAGAGGCAGTGCCCAGATTGCTGGGCAGGCTTCACCTCTGCCCTCAGGAAATATCTAGAGGGTCTAGGACTTTAAACACCTCTGTTAGCTCTGTCTTGAGGCTTCTGCACACAATGAATTCTTGACTCCCTTGGCATCATATGCTGTAACACTTCTTTCCTTCTGCCAGGATGAGCCAGAGGAATGCTCAGCCCTCCCCCTTGGTTTCCCCAAACACCACACACAGGTCTGTGTCTAGCAGATGTGAGTGCATATCTGGGTACTCCAGCAGAGAGAGTTCACATAAGAGCTGTGCAGACCCATGTCAACTTGAATTGTAGGCATCACAATTTCTTACGGGCTACTTTTCCTGACATATTACACATCACAACTCTCTGCCGGACCCCCTCTCTTCCTGAAGTCTCCTTCCAGCTCTGCCTCTGGGGTCGCCTCTCCTGGGCTTCCCCCTCCACCCCTATGCTCTCCCCTTTATTGCACAGGCCCACGAACTCATCCTCGGCTGCTAGCTACGTTCTACTTCTCCACAGATGCAGCAGGCTTGAGAAAAGAGTGTCATCTCTCCCAGGATCATATTTGCCCTTCTTCAAAGTAACTTCCATCAGCCACGTGCTTTGGAGTCACAGCTTTAACAGTTCCCAAGAACTGGCAGAGCCTTATTAGTTCTTTTGTTGTTTTTTGAGAGGGTGGTGGCGTTTGTGGTGTTTTTTTTTTAATCCTTCTCTCATCCCACCAACTCTGTGGAAGGGAACATGGAAAATATTTATTTTCTTTCTTATATAAATTGCATCACTCTCTTGAGGGGTCAGGAATAGCTTAATCATTTTTGGTTTTAATAACTTTCTTCCTCTGAGATTCAATTCCTTAAACCCAATTTTCCTCGTATTAACTGCTCTTTTTGGGGGGGAGGGAAACCACTGCATGCTGATTAGACTTTGTTTTCTCATTGGCAAAATGGAAAGATGGGAGTGGGTATCTCCGAGGCTCCTTATTTGTTTGAAAGTATGTAATTCTTTGACTATAATTATTTAGATTTATTTTTAGTTTAGCAGTTAATGTTTCCAGTTAATAACATAGGTCTACATCATCTATATTTTTAATTTGAAGTGAAATGGTGAATCAAAACTCTAATAACGTTTTTATTCTCTTTTCCCTAATTAGTTGATTCTCTAAGGAAGGGTCTCTTTTAGAATCACACATTCTTAGTTTGCAACCTAAATGTATCACTTATAGAAGTTTATTTGAGATACATTATCTAATCTCTCTGACCTTCATTTTTTAAGAATGTAAAAGAGAATGGTAATGACAACTATCTCATCAAGTTACTGTGTGGAATCAGTGAGATGATTTATGTGAAAATAATTTGTAAATTATAAGTCATCATCAAATGTTAATTCATTTGAAAGGACAAAACAACTAGAAACTGAGAAAGAAGAGGAGAAATATGTTCTGAAGCATGATTGGTACTTCTTAGTATTAGAAGAAAACGATTCAAATTGCCACAAACTGATGATTGGTAATGCACCCTCTTCCTGTCTCAATCATTGGCAATGCATTTCCTCATGGGCTGGTGTTGGTTTGTTTAATTGACATGTACTTCCCTGCACTCAACTGCCCACTTAAGAAAATGTACTGGTATTGAGAAATCTGGAGAAAGATCACAGATACATTGATTTCTTTTCACTCTGCAAAGCCAGCCCTATCAAGAAGTAAAGATCCAGCCACGATAGAGTTGCCACATTGTTTCCTATGTCATGCATTTCTTTATTTGGTCCTTCAACCACTAAGTTTCACAAAATTTTAAACCGAAAAACACCAAGTGTCAAAGACAGCTGCTGGAGAAAGAAGTAGAGTTAGAAAGTCTTGCCTCAATGCAAGATGACATTGCCCAGCCCCTACAGTGGTTCCTGTTGCTGACGTCCTGTCCCACTGCTCAAAGTGATGACGGTGACTTTCCCTTTCTCTCCGTAAGTCCTTAGGTGGCTTTGACCCTTGCTTGAGTACCATTCACTATTGCACACTTCCAACAGCCTTGCCTATTGAAGCTCCCACCGGTTGTCTCAAGTTATCACTATTCTTGTGCCAAACCCTTTTGCCTTCACTCTAGTCTGTTCTGAAACTATTTGCTCTTTTTCTTGACTGATAGCCTCCAGGACTCTGAATTCACACTTCACACATAATCAGATACTTGGTTACTCCTGCTTTCTTTTTCTGATACATACGTCTTAACTTTCTCTTCAGTGATTTCTCGTTCACTTATACAGGCGTTTTACTCTGTCCAATTAAAACAGACAATAAACAAAATTATAGTATACTGTTTCCCTTGGTGTTTCTTCATCACCCAGGATAAGCTTTTTCTTTCTTCAACTTGTCTCTTCCCTTCTTCGGAATCTCCATTCTGGAATCTTCCCTGAGTCAATTTGCATCTTCTAAAAAGCCAACTATGAGACACAATTAAAGGTGCCAAGGATTTACTGGGAGATGGTTGTGATGAACAAAAGGGGAGAGGAAGCAGAAGTAGGAGCCTGTTACCTCTAAAGGGTTAAAAGGAAGGAAGGCAGATTGTATAGAAAAACCCTTAGTTTGGCATGACATTTGAGAAAACCTCAACCATACCAAAGGAGCACCCCGAATAAAGAAGGTGCATTAGGGGAGTTCCAGGTCTGGGTAGACTGGCCCAGCTCTACACCCCACAGTGCCGGCATGGTTCTCTCCAGGAGAGCCTGAACACCACTGCATATTGGCCTCACAGGAACCAGTCACTCTAGTGAAGTCATTTTCTCAACACTTATAATTGACTATTACCCTTTCTCTATATTTGCAACTTTTGTTGAGCTATTCTTATGGATTGGCAAAACTTATGATTCTCCAGAAGTATGCCCCACCACCAACTCTCAATACATAGTCTATAAAATATTGCAGCCAGCTATATCCACATCACTTGGCCTATATGGCTACAGTCAATTTGCAGGTTTATTCTCTCACCAGCAGGGTACAGAGCTGCCTGAATAGCTGCAGGAATTGCCATCCAGTATTAGTTTGTAAACATGCAAAAGGCATGTTACAATTCTGAGACCTTAAAACCTACACTTAGTGCTAATTTTTTGCATGCTTAGTATGTGTGTCAGACACTGCTCTGTTTTTTTTAAAAAAATCTGTATTATTACTATTTGAGGTAGATTCTATTAGTATTGACATTTAATAGAAAGTGATATTGAGGCAAAAAAGGGTTAAATAAACCCTTCAAGACCACAGGGCTAGGAAGTGGTTCAACCAGGATACAAGCCCATTGATCCTCATAGCTGACACAACTCATATATTTTGCTATGCCATTAATATTCAAAACACTTCTCTATAAAACGGTTAACCATAAAATGTTGACCTAATGTCTACTTTAGAGCATATGCATTATGCAGCAATATTTTTTTTTTCTGTCTTTCAGGTCCCTGCATTCCTAATCCATGCCATAATGGAGGAACCTGTGAAATAAGTGAAGCATATCGCGGGGACACTTTCATAGGCTATGTTTGTAAATGTCCCCGAGGATTTAATGGGATTCATTGTCAGCACAGTAAGTTATCCATGGTCATTGTGCTTTTATTGTTATTGATTGCAAAGTATACAAGTCATTATCATTTTTGTTTGGAGTGGAATAATAGAATCTCTGAGCAGCGAAGAGCCCTGGCAGTTGGCTAATGCTGCTTCTTGCACACTGAATACACCACCTCCCCAGGCAAGGCCTCCTAGACTGTGTTCTGTCCTCTCTGTGGCATGGGGACTGTCGGGCTTTTGTTGCCCTTTTCATTATTGTTCAGCCACACTTGCAAAATGTAGCTCTTTATATTAAACGGATACCTGTCTCTTTCTTTTATAGTTGTCATGAAGCTACATTCTTCAAGATTTCCAGATATAATTTTGCAGACTAGCTTGAGAGATGATACCCAGAAAATAAAACACCCTCCCTCCCCCTGCTCTATCTATAAGCCAGTTTCCTCCTTCTTAACATGTTGGCATTTTTGCATGAAAATCTTTGAAAGTTCAACAAGTGTGGTATTTGCACTTTTCTCCTTTATCCCCATTCTTATTTATCCTGGGAAGTTAAACAAAATATATCCACTTGTGATGATTTCTTCTCAGAAGTAAAGCTCAGCATAAATGCCAAATGAGCCGGGGGGGGGGGGGCCCTTAACTGCTTCAGGGGTTCAGCAAGCAGGACGGCCACACTGGCCTGTCAGGGAGGCTCTCACAGAGGCTGCGGCCTGTGAACCGAGTCGTGATGGGGGATAGGATGTTGGCCAGAGGGAGGAGAACAGGGGGATGCATGACACATGGTGGGACTCGTGGAGACAGGAGCCTGAATAGTGGTCATTAAGACCTTGGTGTTAGGAATGCCTAAGCCCAAGGTGGGTGTGTCAGTCAGAGCCAGATTTCCAACCACCAGTAAAAAATATAGTGTGTCTCCTGGCTCTGAGACTTTGGGGGCATTTTATACTTTTCTGGGGACTTGCCATCCCCGGGAGTTTGTGGAATTCTGTGAAGCCTGTGAGAGGACAAGGGGCATTTGTGCTCCTTACAACCGGCATTTGTAATTGTCTCTGAGCTCAGGTCACCGAAGAGGAACTGAGAGCTACTGTTTTTCTCAGCCTGGGTCCTGACTTGCTGAGGCTGATTCTCCCCTATGGTGGCATCATTGCTCAGCCTCCACACATGAATCCCTCAACACTTCCCCAGAGAGACAGAGTTGGGAGCCCAGAATCCTGGTTGCCCTTCATTTAGTTGATGTTTACTAAATCCCATGAAGACAATATCCCAAACTCACTTATTAACAAAACTACAAGATGTGTCAGAGTAGTGCCCAGAAGAAGACAGTCAGGCTACCCAACTTGAGCTCCTTAATTCAGAGCTGCCTGCATACCGCACACACACTTACAGAAGATCCCTCCCTTGGAATTAGAACAGTGCTCAGAGGCAGGAATTACACCCAAAGGTCATACCCGCCCAACTTCCTCTTTTCTGTGCTGCAGGGCCTCAGGAGAGAGAGAGGGTAAAAATACACAGGCAGATTCTTACCGTTAGGAATCCTTAAAAAGGCAGTGTCTGGAAGGCACGTGACGATCCTAATGTCACTTAAATATTTCATATTTATGAGTCACTTCACCCTAAACTACTGTTGATGTCAATGAGAAGTTGGGGCTAGCCCTTAAACCAGAGGTTGGGAAACTCCAAATCTAAGTTCCAATTAATATCTGTACAACAACACAAAACTCTTCTCACACCTCTGGGCTTTGTTTTCTTCATATTGTGAAGAAATGTTTTCGTTTCAGTTATCTCTAATAGCCTAGAAGTCCCGTTGTAGACATCCAATCATCATGGGTGACATACACAGGTGGGGCGCAGTCCACCTGCCTCTGACTCCCACACATTGGCTGGACGTGAGCCCTTTCAAAAGAACCATCATGTTTGGAGAAATAGAACAAATCATTGTTGTCCCCATTCTATATAACAGCAGTTCTCAACCTGTGGGTCGTGACCCTTTGGGGGTCAAATGACTCTTTCACAGGGGTCGCCTAAGACCATCGGAAAACACATATATAATTACATATAGTTTTTGTGATTAATCACTATGCTTTAATTATGTTCAATTTGTAACAATGAAAATACATCCTGCATATCAGATATTTATTATGATTCATAACAGTAGCAAAATTACAGTTACTAAGTAGCAATGAAAATAATTTTATGGTTGGGGGTCACCACAACATGAGGAACTGTATTAAAGGGTCGCGGCATTAGGAAGGTTGAGAACCACTGCTCTACAGTAGAATATCCACATTTTTCTCTCATAGATTACACCATCCTCAAATAAGCTCATTAATCCACATAACATGTTGAATTTCAAGACTTATTGTGAAGCACAAAGAAACCCCCCACAGCAGCTGATCTCCCACCAACTGTAAATCCATGTTAGGAATTTCAGTGGAAAGCCCTAGGCTTTACTATTCAATTCAGAACTGGGATTTTGTGGTGTAAACAAGTTGATCCCTATTCTCTGAAGTGCATCACTATTAGAAGCAACAGAAAATGGAGGGAAAGAACTGGTTTTGGAATCAGAGACCTGGATTTGACACCTGACCTTTACAGTTATTGGATAAGTGACCTCAAGCCAATCACTTGACCTTTCTGCAATTGAAGACATAGAAGTTGAGGAATTGAACTGGAAATAGATTATCTTTGTTTCACACCAGCTAGGAGAGTATTATGACTAAATGGGTAGCTTGCTTACTGTATAAAGGTTATCAAGCCTTCCTCTTTATAGATTAAATTGAAAGAATTTAAAAGCCCTGGGAGCCCCGAGAGCTTTTCCAGGTAGGAGAAAACCAAAGCAGCACTTTTAATGCCTTGCAAGAACTTGTAGGCATTTGGGTTTTCCCTCCAGTGGTAATAGTTTTATGGCCCAGATATGTTCTAAAACCTTGATACTCAATGTGTGGTTATGCATTAGCGATGCCTGGAAACTTGTTAGAAATGCACATTGTCAGGTGCCACCTTAAACCAACTAGAATGATCCCCAGTTGACACCCAAGGATATTGAAGTTTGAGAAATACTGCCCAAGGCTCTCAGTAGCTAAAAGTAATCATCTCATAAATTAAGGTAGCAGCTTTGCATTCAGTTACAGAATGGTAATTATAGGCAAAATATTTAGTGTGGCTTTTGCAAATCAAAACTTTATTGAAAATCAATGAAAATGAGAGATTACCACTAGAATATGACATTCCTTTTGGGAAAAGAATTTTAAAAATTCTTCAGACATTTGCATATGGGGGAACTATTTAATTTAGTTCTATATGACAGAATGTGAATTAAATATCTCTGGTAATATAGCTAAGTAGTTAAAAAAATTTATGTTTCATGATACAGACATGACAAATACATAGTCAATACATATACTTTAATGATTAATTTGTCAATATGCTGCAAATTAGGAAAAAAGGCTTTAGTACCAGCATTAATATTACCTATATATTCTTTTAAAAAATAGTAAATATTAGTTTTTAGAACGGCTTTTGGTTTGTGGAAATATTGAACAGCGCATTATTATATATCTCTCCTACGTAGTTTCCCCTATTATTAACATCTTGTATTGATATGCTATGTTTTTTGTAATTGATAAAATAATGTTAATACATTATTACTCAATATTTTGGTTTATATTTTGGTTCACTGTTTATATTATAGAGGTATTTAGTTTTTAAAAAATACATAATATCATGTATCCACCCTAGCTTCATACAGAATAGTTTCACTGACCTTAGTGCTCCACCTATTCATCCCTTCTCCCACCCACTGCCCTGGGCAACCACTGTTTTTTTTTTTTTTTACTATTTCTATAGTTTTCCTTTTCTAGAATGTCACATAGTTGGAATACTATAGTATGTAGTTGGAATCATATAGTGTGTAGACTTTTCCGACTAACTTTTTCACTTACCAGTGGCATTTAAGGTTCTTCCATGTCTTTTAATGACCTGACAGTTTAAAAAAAAAAATGCTGCATCATATTTCATTTTATGGGTGCACAACAGTTTGTTTATTTATTCATCTATTTGAAGAACATTTTGTTGCTTTCATTTGGGGAATTTATGAATAAAGTTGCTACAAACATTCAGGTGCAGGATTTTGTTAGACCTATTTTCCACTCATTTGAATAACTATCTGGGAGTGTTACTGCTGGATGAATTGGTAAGAGTACATCTATCTTTATAAGAAACTTTAAACTGCCTTCCATAGTGGCTGTGTCATTTTGCATACTTATCAGAGGTAAATGAGAGTTCCTGTGTCCTGTATTCTCAATAGCATGTTTTTGTCAGTGTTTTGGATTTTAGCCATTACATATACTTTTTTTGTGGTAATGAGAATAGCATCAGGTTATAACTTTATTAGACTAATAATGAGTAATAATTGTTTTATATAGAATTACCAAATTATACATGTTCTTAAAATGTCACACAATAATATGAAACATGTAGTATGTATATGTATATAGATGTGTGTGTATGTGGGTGTGTGTAATTATAAAATGTAAATTACAGAATGAATTAAATACCAAAATTGTCTAGAGTTTAGACTTTTGTAAGGCATTCATTCCTAAGCAATCAGTTTTCTGTTGGGAGCCAAATATAATATGGCTAAGAGTAATCGTATTATATCTGTTGCCAGTAACAAATCTAATGCCTTAGGGAGGGACCATTTCTTTATTCCCAGAACTCTTTGCCCATCTTACCAAGGAAGCCATTCTGAGCTTTCTTCCCTACCTACACAGCACGGCAGCCTTGGATTCCTTTTAAGAGCACATTTTCTTGGTTCCTATTCTTTGAGGAAGAGGAGCTGTTCCACGTGCCCACCAAGCCCAGAAAGAAAAAGGGACTGCTACAGAAGTGGCCCATTTTATCAGATTAGCTCAAGATAATATGCTCTCTAGTCCCCTTTCCCACTGAGAAAGTTGGCCAGAAGAACATCTAACCTAAAATTTTCCTCTTTGTATATTATAATAACTATTGTAAAACCATTTGGTC